TCCAGACAATTCAGTCTTTTGTCCCCTTCTCAGTAGTGAGTCCTGGGATTTGCTGAACCTAAAATGTCTCCTTGTACAAGTGAGAGACCCGGGGCGTATTCTTCTCTGTCATCATGGCAAGTCTCTGTAATTGATACAGATCTAGGGATAAGACAGAGCTCAGGCTTTGCTGCCAATGTGCTGCCCACTACAAAATTGGTTAAATCAGCTTTTCTCATGAAATAGAACAATTTTTCAAAACTTTGACAGGCCATAGCAGTGTCAAAAAAAMCCCTCTCAGTTAAAGGAGAGCTCCAGTTCTCCATCTTCCAGCTAAAAAAAGGTAAAGATTATTGGTGTTTAGTATATCCTTTACATACAACRGGGATAGGAGTTTAGAAACATGGGATGATGATTCCATGGAGTTGAAGATTTACCCTACRAGTTGGAGACTTACCCTATGTACAAATATTCTCTTTACTCTTTTTTTTTTCTTCATATGTTGAATCCTGTCAACACATACTGACAGGCTTAGCATGGCAGGAGAACATCATGAAAGGACAGGTAACTTAGCTCCTGTGCCTTTAGTTGGGTGGCTTGTTGGCCCTCATGTTGGACTCCACCTTCATTTGCTCATCACACAAACTGTTTAATAGCTGTATTTATTACATATTTATTACATAGTATGATTTAATTAGTAGTTACTGAAAATATACAGGAATTGAAATGTAACATTAAGAATGACCTAACAAGGGTTTCCTGTGTGTTCTACAGTCTGTAAGAGAGAACTTGAAAGCAGTGGCYTCAGTCTTGGCTTCAATCTTCCCTGCGGCCAAGTAGGCTGCTATGSGGTTGAGTCCTCGCTTGTGGGAACAACTAGGGAGCTGCCTTATGGCACTTGGAAAGTAAGATGCTGCCAGCGGATCCTGAATCAAGGAGGGAGACACCTGCTCTTTCCATGTCAGAAGTTTGGGTCAGTTTGGAGGTTGTTATTTTTTTTAGCTTAGGTTGTTATTTTTGTGTGTGTGTGTATTTATGGACCTSCTGCAATACATGAAAGCTTTCCAAGAACTCTATTATTTGTAGGCAGGTGCAAGGGTCACACATAAGAGACCACCTGAAACATTCATGACAGCACTSTCGCCTCCCTCTCTCCGAGGACCAAGACAATTTGTGCTGCCCTGGGCCCCAGGATGGTGGTGGTCAGGGAATGACATAGGCGTTTACTTCCCTGGTTCAGAATGAGGGGTAAAAAATGGCCGGTTTGGGGTTGTCCTGGGCCTCCTGGTCCCTGAGCACAGCGGGGTGTCAGGGAGACCCCTCGGAGGCGACTCGCAGCCCAAGGCAGCACGGGACGCTGCCCTCCCGCCCTGGCAGCCTCCCTCTCCATCCACATGGTGCCGATAACCATGCTCCATGCTGCAGAGCCTGGCCCTCGCCTCAAGGGTGGCGGCCATTGCCCGCGGAGCACTGGGGGCAGCGGCCATTGCCAGTGGACCGTTGGAGGTGGTGGCCGTTGCCCACAGAGCACTGGGGGTGGCGGCCATTGCCCGCGGAGCACTGGGGGCAGCGGCCATTGCCAGTGGGCCACTGGAGGTGGCGGCCGTTGCCTGCAGAGCACTGAGGGCGGCGGCCGTTGCCCGCGGAGCATTGGGAGCAGTGGCCGTTGCCCGCGGAGCGTTGGGAGTGGCGGCCGTTGCCCGCGGAGCGTTGGGGGCGGCGGCCGTTGCCCGCGGAGCATTAGGTGACGCCGCGCGCTGCTGAGGGAGCCGTGCGCCTCCCCGACACCTCTGCTCCCCAGCGGAAACGTCCCCACGTCTCCCCTGGACGGCGTGTGCACTGTACATATTAATGTACAGTACTTCATGTACTGTGCATGTTAATCAGGTGTTCRTTTTGCCCTCCCTTCTATTGTGGGACAGGATAAACCAAACTTGTTCAGATCAAAGAGCTTGGGGAACCCCGTTTAAGCGCCCTCTACACTRAGGGGCCACCTGGCCCTCTCAGACCTGGCAGCAAGTCACAGAATCACAGACTGGTTGAGGTTGGAAGGGACCTCTAGAGATCATCTAGTCCAACCCCCTGCTCCAGCAGGGACACCCAGAGCAYGGGGCACAGGGCGGCATCCAGGTGGCTTTGGAAGATCTCCAGAGAAGGAGACTCCACAGCCTCCCTGGGCAGCCGGTGCCAGCGCTCTGGCAYCCTCACAGTGAAGAAGTTCCTCCTCACATGGAGATGGAACTGTCCGTGTTGCAACTTGCACCCATTACCCCTTGTCCTGTCACTGGCCACCAATGAGATGAGCTTGTCCCCTTCCTCCCTACGTTCCYCCTTCATGAACTTATGCATGTTAATCAGATCCCCTCTCAGCCTTCTCTTCTCCAAGCTAAACAGGCCCAACTCACTCAATCTCTCCTTGTACAAGAGATGCTCCACTCCCTTAATCATCTTCATTGCCCTCCGCTGGACCCTCTCTAGAAGCTCCGCATCCCTCTTGGACTGCGACATTGGTAACATTACAAATAATGTCACATAATAAAGTTTTTCTCATTAAAGAAAATATAGTCCTTAATCCAATTTTCATTTTATTAAAGAGAAATTATTTAAATAATTTCATTTATCGAAAATATTTAATAAAAACAACAACAAAAAACACATTAAAAAGCCATGACCTGGGGACTGCTTTAGGCTATGCTGTGTTAACATAATACTCGGTTTTGCTTCAGCTTCCAGGAGGCTTGAGCCAGCCTGTCTGAGACCCAGGGGAACTGGCCTGTTTTTTGAGCTCCAGGAAGCAGGGGATACACATTGGCAACAGCACATAATACGATGCAAGAAAGATTGTTGCAATAGAAAGATTTAATGAACRCTTAATTTGGTATCTGTATATTTCCTGGAAACACCTTTGTTGCCTGTCCATACAGTACCCTGTCTGTAGCAGCATTTGCAAGAGTATTTGCAATACCTGCGTTCTTTATAATTTATTTGTGTATCAATAAATTGGTTAAGTATTTTAAAAGCAATATTCTGTTTCTTAACAGCTCTGGAGGATTGTCTGAGAGATGGAACGTGGAGGATCACAGACATTGCTGAAATCTGCCAATCGAGTTGCATGTGGAAGGATTTGGGAGGTCCCTGCCACCCCGCTAATTAAGATATTGCCACAGTCACTACTCAGAACAGTGTGTCTGGTTAGTGCTGATAACGACTCTTCTTTGCTAAAAGAGCTACAGACAGTGGCTTCATTGTAGAGCCTTTGGACTATCTTAAACAGCAGTCCTTGTAGGTCTGCAACACACATAAGACTTGAACTAAGCCAAGATTTTCTGGCTACTTGACTTGAGGCTACAGTTGTCTCTTTGCTATATGCGCAAGGYAGGAACTGTGCATGTTTCACACATTGTTTAGCTACTCACTACAAAATCTGTACACAGTAGGAATGTTCAATACAGACATTTATTTATCTACTTTTTACAGTGTGAACAGAATGAAGATGATAATAACAGCAAAAGGAGTAGAATGGAAAGTAAAATTGACTCCAGGGAACCTAGCTACTTCTTAGAAGGTAATGAGTGGCAGAAACACACTGAGARACATTTGCTTCTTGCTTGTTCTTGACAGCGAGCTGGGATGAGGGAGGTTGCTAGCAACAAGGCTAAAACCAGAGTAGTTTTCTGGGTGGGGGGGAAAGCCAAGGGGGACAGAAGCTATATAAAGAAACTATGATATAGCATACAAAATTTAAAATGAATGGCATAGCACAGTAAACACTTTGAGAGCTCTGTTGTGTAGCGAATGCTTTCTTTGCTAAATAAAATATCTATTTATGTATGAAATCTCTGAAATCGATCATTTGAGGACACAGGGAGCAGCATAATTAACACAACTACACAAGTTACCACGTGGTGCTTTAACACAACAGCTTTGGCACTGCTCCGGACTTCCATTTCCTAATGCAGACACRAGTGCCACTGCAGGGGCACTAAACATGCAGATCTACCGAGGGGCAGAAAACGACACGAGTCCAGCTGCCTGCTYGGAACATTGTCCAAAAAGCAGATTCGCCGCCCCGTGTGCAGGGAGCTGATCCTCWCACTAGCAGGAGCGGCGTTTGCTCCTTTATTTCGGAGCTGCTCAAGCTCAAGTGCTTGGTGGATTCCCATAAATCGATGACACACTCCCCGCTTTCCAAACTGTATTTATGCACTCGATAACTCCCCGGATACATCCCTCTTTACAGTGATTAGTTAGTAATTTACATGCAATTAGTGTTGTTTGTTCCTCCTGTCCCCTGTTACGCATGCTGTGGGGAAGGGTCTTCACCAAGGCAAGGATCTTGGGCATGATTTTTAGTATTATAATACTAAGGGCATTATTTTTAGCATTATAATGAAGATAGTTCAGTTAAGGATCTGTGGAACTTGAGTTTTCCTGCCAAGTTTGCAATGTGGAAAAAACATTGTGATTTTAATGAGCAGCTCCCAGTTGTCCTTGGCTAAGGAATGCTGTCTGCTCCCCTGATRAGTTTCCTCCCATCCCATCCTAGCAAGATACAGGGAACATCTGTCCTCCTTAAGTTTTAAACAAGGTGAACATAATTCCTCCTGATCCTCCAACCCAACTCATCCCACAACAGCGGGAGCAGAGACCTGAGGCAAAACGTGAGCAGCCTGATGCACTGCCCCGCTCCCTCTAATCTAGAGACATTTGCAACAAAAAACAGGTCAAAACTAAAATGAGCCCAAAGCGGTTTGGGCACCGCGTGTTGGGGGCGAAATTAAGTTAAACATAACTTAAATAATACAAYTTATACCAAAGGGACGGGGGAGGGGAGGGGGGAGGAGGAGCCGCCATAGCCGCCTCAGCCAGGCAGGGCGCCGAACTACAACTCCCGTGGTGCTCCGCGGCGAGCGCGTCGGGAACAAGCCCCGCGCCCATTGGCTCCTGCCTCCCGCCACTCAGCCGCGCGGCTGGCGGGGGGAGCTCCCCGCGCGCGAGGCGGTGACGGCGTCGCGGGAGCCATGGAGCAGGAGCGCGAGGTGAGGGGCGCCGCGCCGCGCGGGCCGGGCCGGGCCGGGCCG